TATATATATATATATATACATATATAACTCACTATGTAGCAAATATATATATATATTTGCTCACTCACTATTTGCTACATAGTGAGTTCTCTGTCCCAACCTACCCATAATAGGTTTATGCTGGGGACCATCAAGCCAGGGATCATAGGAGAACAAATTGGTGCTTCACCTGATGCATTGTGGAGGGGGCTGGCTTCCCGAGGATCAGACTAGATGACACATTTTAGCAGACCCCAGAAATAAATGCCAGCCTTCAGAGAGTATCAGAGATAAGGCGAGTATCAGATACCAATGTGGTTTGTAGTCAGTGACCCAGGACCCAAAGCCTTCCACCAAAGCCCTGATATGTGAGCCTGTTGTGCACACCCTGACTTCTCACTCCCAACAGAGATGGGTAGAATAGGAAAGATTTATTTAAATATAAAACAACTGAGAAAAATCAGGAAGGGACTAAGTTTAGCTATATAGTACTTAGGAATGCTCTTGGCCCTAGTAGGACAAAAACCAAACTGTCAGAGGCTTAAATCATAAGATATTATATGCTTTTAAAAAAAGATTTTATTTATTCATTTGAGAGAGAGACAGAGAGACAGAGCACAAGCAGGGGGAGAGGCAGAGGGAGAGGGAGAAGCAGACTCCCTGCTGAGCAGGGAGCCCAATGTGGGACTCGAGATGCAGGACCCCGAGATCATGACCTGAGCTGAAGGCAGATGCTTAACCATCTGAGCCACCCAGACGCCCCAGATATTATATGCTATTTTTTTAAAAATAAAAGATTTATTATATATTTAACGAGAAGCTTTGAAATCTAGGTGGCCTATATGGACTGGTTGCCCAGTGATGTCATCAAAGAGAGGCTCATTTTGTCTTTCTGTGCTGCTATTCTTAGACTGTGTTGGATTATTGTCTTCACACTTGTCATCTTATGGTCACAAGAGAACTGTTGCAGTTCCAAGCATTGCATCTATATTTCAAAACATGAAAAAGAGGACTCTCTCTTGTTGCCTTTCCCTTTTAAAACGAAGGGAAAATTTTCTCATATGGTCCTTAGGACCTGTGTCTCACTGCCTAGAACTGGGCCAGCTGCAAGTATTTATCAACAATAAATGGGGTTATCATGATGAACTCAAATCCTCACCCTAACCTGTCACTTCCCTCCTAACTCAAGGTAAACATTATCCTGAATTTTGTGTATTATTATTTCCCTTCCGTCCTTCCTTCCATCCTTCCTTCCTTCCTTCCTTCCTTGCTTCCCTTTATGGTCTTTATACATACTGAAAAATGCAAAGGTACACTTATGAAATATTTACTGAATATATAGAATAAAGTATCACAATCACTTGCATGCTTCTTACTCCATTTAAGAAAGGGAGTATTGTCTTTATATTTGAAGTTTCTGAGAGGCCCCTTCCTGAATACATCTTTCCTCCCCCAACTCCGCTAAGAACCCCTATTCTACCTTTATTACAAAGAAAAACTTTTTATTGGGGACATTTTCAAACATGTGCCAAAATAGAGAGAAGAGCATAATATACCTAGCTTCAACAATTATCAACATGTGGCTTATCTTCGTTCATTTTTACCCCTCTCTCCCAGGGATTATTTTAAAGCAAGTTCCAGGCATCAGATAATTGCGTATGTATTTTTCAGTGTGTACCTCTAATAGATAAGGATTATTTTTATTAATATGATTGCAATACCATTTTCATATCTTAAAAAAACAATAATTCCTTAATATCACCAAGTATTCAGTCAGTGTTCAAATACTCAATTACCTCACAAATGACAAAATTTAAAAATATTTATAGTTTGAATCAGGATCCACATAAGGTCCACACTTAGCAATTAGTTAAAATGTCTCTCAAGTTTTTCTCTCTCTTTTTTTAAAGAATTTATTTATTTATTTATTAGAGAGAGAGAGAACACAAGTGGGGGGGAGGAGCAGAGGGAGAAGCAGCCTCCCCGCTGAGCGCAGAGCCCAACTGATGACCCATCCCAGGACCCCGGAATCGTGACCTGAGCTGAAGGCAGACGCCCAATGGACTGAGCCACCCAGGCATCCCTCAAGTCTCTTTTTAATAGAGGTCCTCCCCCTCTTTTTTCTTACAATTTATTTTGTATAGAAACTAGGTCATGGGCACCTGGGTGGCTCAGTTGGTTGGGCATCAGGTCAGGTCATGGTTCAGCTCAGGTCATGATCTCAGGGTCCTGGGATCTAGTCCTACATTGGGCTACCGGTTCAGTGGAGAGCCTGCTTCTCCCTCACCCTCTGCTGCTCCCCCTGTGTGTGCTCTCTCACTCACTCACTCTCTCTCTCAAATAATTAAAATATATATATTTTTAAAATTTTATTTATTTTTGAGAGAGAGAGAATGACAGAGAGAGAATGAGAGGGGTGAGGGTCAGAGGGGGAAGCAGACTCCCTGCTGAGCAGGGAGCCCAATGCAGGACTCAATTCCAGAACTCCAGGATCATTACCTGAGCCAAAGGCAGTCGCTTAACCAACTGAGCCACCCAGGCGCCCTCTCTCAAATAATTAAATAAAATCTTAAAAAAAAAAAAGAAACTAGGTTGTGTATCCTGTAGAGTTTGCCATAGTCAGGATTTTGCTGATTATACCCCTTGGTACCATTTAACAGGTTTCTCTGTCCTATGTATTTCTTGTAAACTGATAGTTGGACCTATAGACTTGATTCGTTTTAGTATGATTACTTCTTAGGTGATGTGCAATGACTTCTTTAAACCCTGAATACGATGGTCTTTTTCCATTTTTTTCTCTTCCTCAATCTCTTGTGGCACTTGATACTGTTAAGCTTGGCACGGGGCATTTCTTCTTTTGTGACATTCTCTTCTCTCTTATTATTTCTTGGATAAGATGGAGAGGCAGCATCATGACTGCCAGTCAGCTTCCATTATGAACTGAAATTCAACACCTTTATTATAGAAAAAAAACAATCAAAATATTTCTCATTAATGGTTGACTCTAACACATTAGCAATGATCAGGCCATTGGTGGAGTTCCTTAAAGGCCTAATTTGTTGTCATAGAAGGAAGAACAAAATGTTGTCTGTGGTTATAGGTTGTAGTGAAATTGACCTGAAAATATAACTTTTCTCTTCTGTAGCTCTTCCTCATTAGCTAATTTCCTTCTGAGATCCAGTCAGAGAGAAGGACCCAATTACGGTTGCTTCTTAAGCTTTATAGGGCACAGGGATTCAAAGTATACCAATGCTCAGATTTTAAGCAGACTTCTTGCGTATCCTTTGCAGATACCTTTGATTCACCGTTCACTTTAAACCAAAACATCCCCTCTGAACCTAAGCTATTCTTATTTTCTGGGGTGGGGTAATCATGACATTTTCTGGAAAATCTCCCAAACACAGCGTTTCTCAAGGACACTTTTCATCTTCTCAAGGCAAGAAAATCACAAACATAATAATAATATGTACCTCATAATAAAACATGAAATTTTTTGTTTCCTTTGGCATATTGATAGAGCCTATCTTTGGATTACCTTCAGTCCTTTTATGATCTTGTTTTTAAATATCTTTCACAGATATTGATCCTAGGAATGGAATACCAAAGTTAACTCCAGGAGATAATCCATATATGTACCCAGAACAGAGTAAAGACTTCCACAAAGCAGGATCAACTCTCCCACCAGTGAATTTCTCCATGTAAGTGTACGTGAATAGTAGGGTTAGTTTGTTAATTTTAAAGGAATTGTATCTCTCTGTACTATATATGTTATATTTCATAAGGAGTAGATTCCAACAAAACATGGTTGCTGACAATTCCTAAAAAAGTTAATCTCTAGGGATGCCTGGATGGCTCAGTTGGTTAAGCGTCTGCCTTCCACTCAGGTTATGCTCCCAGGGTCCTGGGATCGAGTCCCATGTCGGGCACCCTGCTCAGGGGAGCCTGCTTCTCCCTTTGCCTGCCGCTCCCCATGCTTATACTCTCTCTCTGACAAATAAATAAAATCTTTTGAAAAAACGTTCATCTCTAGTTCCTTAGTGTCCACACACATGCGTGTGTGTAATTGAAATTATATACAGGATCTTGACTACAAAAAGGAGGTTGTTAATTTTGTCCCAATTGTTGTTACCACAAATCTGAAGACTTTTCAGTTTCATACTGAATCAGGTTATTGGTGACTACTGTTTGGATTGATGTATACTTGGAACTAAACTTAGACCAAAGTGGTTGAGGAGAAAGGGAGGTTCATTAAGTTAAGAGAAAAATAGTTGGTATATTACATTAATATTTTAAAAAATTAATCATGTTTGGTTTAATGATGTTTAGTGAAAATTATAATAAGAATTATGACCTTTACAGTTGTGAAGCCCCTAGGTGGCCATTAAAACCAGAAAATAAGACATTTTCTTGAATATGATGATGTATTGATCTCTCTGCTGTAGAAGCCCTACCAATCATACGGTTGTCTGTTCTGTTTTTCAGAGTGCCTTATGAAAAGAAATATGATACTTTTATTCCACTTGAGCCTCTTCCACAAATTCCTACGTGAGTTCTCTTACCATGTTTTTACATTATCCGATCTTTATGAAGTTATCGGTTATTTACAGGTTTCTCCTATGGAGGAGCTCATAGACACCCAACACAGAGAGACCTTTGGTATCCCAGCAGGTGGGGCAGTGTGTATGGAGGGTTTTTGGCGAGACACTTGGAGGGCAAGTACTGTGGAGTCTGGCAGCTGGGTCGCCCACATCTTCAGCCGATAAGATGGACAGCCCGCCAGAGGCCCTGTGTTGTGCTAGGTATGCACTGTGGGGGGTTTATATGGAGCAAAAAGACAGGGTCCCTGATTTCCAAAACCCAAGAGTTGTTGGAAAAGAAAGACCCATGCTTAAATGAGTGCAACCAGGGAGGATGGTTAGAGCTTGAAGAGGCAGAGAAAAAGCCATTGGAATGCTTGAGGGAAGTATCATCCCTCTGATCTCATATTTTAAGTTCAGCTCCATTCTGAACCTCATTTATTTGCCCAAGTAGGGTTTAGACCTAGAAAATGATATGTGTCAGTATAAAAAATTCCACTTTCCAGGGATGCCCGGGTGGTTCAGTGGGTTAGATGACAGACTCTTGATTTTGGCTTGGGTGATGATCTCAGGGTCCTGGGATTGAGCCTGTGTCAGGCTCCCTGCTCAGTGGGAGTCTGCTTGTCTTCCTCTACTCCTCCCTTTGCCCCTCCCCTGCTCTTGTGTGTGTGCTTTCTCTCTCTCTCAAATAAATAAATAAATCTTAAAATAATTTCACTTTTTAAAAAAATTTATTTATTTATTTGAGAGAGGGAGAGAGCATGAGTCGGGGGGTAGGGGCAGAGGGAGAGGGAGAAGCAGACTCCCCACTAAGCAGGGAGCCTGGTGCAGGGCTCAATCTGAGGACCCCGAGATCATGACCCAAGCTGAAGGCAGACATTTAACTGACTGAGCCACCCAGGTGCCCTCCAAAATTTCACTTTCTAATACAAAACAGTCTCACATAAGTATGGCTAGAGTGGGCAAGTGACCCACTGTCTGACCCACCAGAGTCCAGCTGGGAGACCAAACCCTGGAGCTCAGTGGAAATAAAAGCCTTTTATTCCAAACTTGGGGGCTTTAATACCTGCATGATACTGCATTAATACTTGAGGCACATAATTGGGGCCTCCGTGTCTGTACTGTATATTTTTTGTAAACACTCTTCTAGAATATTTAAAATAAAAGTAATTGCCAGGGCACAAAATAAGTCTTTATACATTTAAGAAGACTGAAATCATATCAAGTATCTTTTGTGACCATGATGGTGGGAAAATAGAAATCAATTACAAGAGGAAAGCTGGAAGATTCACAAATAAAATGAAGACTAAACATGTTCTTGAGCAACCAATGGGTCAAAGAAGAAGTAAAAAGAAGAATAAAAAATACTTTCAGACAAATGAAAATGGAAACACAACATACCAAAACTTACGGTATGCAGCAAAAGCAGGTTTAAAAGAGAAGTTCATAGTAATAAATGCCTATGTTAAGAAAAAAGAAAGATATCAAATGAACAACCTAACTTTACACCTCAAGGAACTAGAAAAAGAACAAACTAAACCCAAAGCTGATAGAAGGAAAGAAATAACAAAAACCAGAGGGGAAATAAATGAAATAGAGACTAAAAACACGATAGAAAAAAAATCGATGAAACTAAGAGCTTTTAAAATTTTTTTTATTTATTTACTAATTTTAATGGTTTTATTTATTTGAGAGAGAGAGAGAGTGCTTGCATGAGCAGGGGGGAGGGTCAGAGGGAGAGGGAGAAGCAGACTCCCTGCTGAGAAGGGAGCCCGATGCTGGGCTCAATCCCAGGACCCTGGGATCCCGACCTGAGCCAAAGGCAGACACTTAACCGACTGAGCCACCCAGGTGCCCCAGCCCCTCTATTTTTTTTTTTTAAGTAATCACTATGCCTAATGTGGGGCTTGAACTCATGACCCCTAGATCAAGAGTTGCACTCTCTATTGACTGAGCCTGCTAGGTGCCCCTCTTTTTCTATTTTTGAATGGGATGTTTAATTCATTTTTTAAATTCTTTAATTTTTCTTAATATCTATACTGAAGGTTATGAAAGTGCCTCTGTCCACTGCTTTGCTTATATGTTGTAAATTTTGATGTGTAGATACATATACACATATGTATATATATATATATTTTTTTTTTTTTTTTTTTTTTTTTTAGGGGGGGGGGATGGGGGGGCAGAGGGCGAGGAAATCTTAAGCAGACTTCATGCCCAGCGCAGAGCCCAACTCAGGGCTTGACAGATTTGATTTCACAACCCTGAGATCATGACCTGAGCCAAAATTAAGAGTTGGACACTTAACTGACTGAGCTACCCAGGCACCCCAGATTATCCTTATTTTTTAAAGAATTCTGCAGTTTGTGTTGGTCTCTTCCTTTCGGCTAAAGAATTGCTTAATAGATTTAAAATTTCCGAGTGAAAGAGGTTTTTGATTTTTATTTTGTAATTCAGTTTTACTTTTATCACCTAATGACCAGAAAATATTGTTTTTATTATTTTTATTTTATGGAACTTACCAACTTTTCATTGTGACCTAATACATGCTCAATTTGGGGACTGTCTCTACATACCTTTGAAGGTGTGTCTACTTCATCAGGATGCAAAGTTAGGTACATACCCAGAAGATTTACCTTTTTGGGTTTTTTAAAAAATTTTATTTATTTATTTATTGCAAACGAGAGAAAGGGAGAGTGTGTAAGTGGGAGGGAGAGGGAGAGGGAAAGAGAATCTGAAGCAGACTCTGCACTGAGGGCAGAGCCCAATGCGGGTCTTGATCTCATGACTGGGAGATCATGACCTGACCTAAAACCAAGAGTTGGATGCTTAATCGACCCAGCCACCCAGGCACTCCAGATTTATCTTTTTGATTAAAATTGTTCATTTGGCCTAGTTTGGACTGCAAATGGGTCTGTTAATGTATTTCTATCTTTATTGTTAACTGTAGCCATTAACATTATAAAAATATCTTCCTTTTAGACAAACCAAAACCAGACTCTGTAGAGAACAAACTGGTGGTTACCAGAGGGGAGGTGGGTGGGGGGAGATGGAGTGAAACAGGTGATGGGGATTAAGGCGTGCACCTGTCATGATGAGCACTGAGTAATGTATAGAATTGTTGAATTACTATATTGTACACCTGAAACAAATATAACACTGTAAGTTAACTGCACTGGAATTAAAATTTTGAAAAATCTTCTTTTTCTCATTTAATGCTTTTTGTCCTGTATTATACATTGCCAGATATTAAGATTATAACTCTTACTTTGTTTTGTTTGCATTTGACTAATATACCTTTACCCATTCTTTTGTTTTTAGACTTTTTTTTTTTTAAAGATTTTATTTATTTTGACAGAGAGAGAGAGAGGGACAGGGAGAGAGGGAACACAAGCAGGGCGAGTGGGAGAGGGAGAAGCAGGCCTCCCGCCGAGCAGGGAGCCCGATGCGGGGCTCGATCCCAGGACCCTGGGACCATGACCCGAGCCGAAGGCAGACGCTGAACGACTGAGCCACCCAGGTGCCCCTGTTTTTAGACTTTCAAATCACTTTGTTTTAGGTCTGTCTTTTACACACAGAGTTGGATTTTGCTTTTGTGAGCCAACCTGAAAATTGTTTTCTTTTTTTGAAAATTGTTTTCTTTAATAGCTGAATGAAGGGGCACCTGGGTGGCTCAGTCAGTTAAGCAGCCGAGACTCTCGATTCCGGCTCAGGCCATGATCTCGGGGTTGTGAGATAGAGCTCCGCGCTAACTGGGGAGTCTGCTTGAAATTCTCTCTCCCTCTGCCCCTCCCCCCACTCACGTGCGCACGCATGCGTGCTCTCTCTCTAAAATAAAAAAAAATAAGTCTTTAAAAAAATAGGTGAATTAAGATCATTTGAATTAATGATTTGACAGATTTGATTTCAGTTCTATCATAATATTTTGTTACACTTATTATGTGTATTATATTATTTTTACCATGAGTCTGTTTTCTTTGATTGCTTCAACAAAAGTTGAAAAAAATGATTTCTTTTGATGTTAAGGAATCCTTGTGGTTTTGTTCTAGTGATTCTTTTTTATGCTAGTATCTTCTATATTGCCCAAATAACGTCCTGCTGGTCTTATTTGGGCTTCTGCTATTGGTTTGTCAGCTTTACATGATACCCTTGACTCCCCCCTATTACCTATGTGGTAATCTCTTTTCCTTCCTGCAGGGACTTCCCCATCCCTAGCAGATTTATCAGGGCATTCTTCCCAATCATGGTGCATTTCTCCCTAAATGTATGAAAATTGTAGCCGCCAAAGAGGAAAAGATTCTTCATCTCTTTTCTCTGACTCATCCCAGGAGTCACACAATTCCTGGCACCTCTTGGAACATACAGAGTATAGTCCAGCATCTCTGCAGACTTGGGAGGGTGCCGGGGGTCTGCATTAGCTGAGGCGACAGCAAAACTACAGAAGGCACACTCAGGTGGGATTCTGAAGAGGGCTTAATGAAAGGACTGTTTACAGATGAGTGAACAGGTCAAGGGAAATTATATGGAAGGGCGAAGCCCCCCTGATGTTCTCTCCAGTGGGCCGCTACTACCACTCCCAGGTCTGAACAGCAAGAAGAGTGATCTTGTTGCCCAGCCTGGTGGGAGATGGAGAAGGGCTGTCCAGAGGGGGTTGTGGCAGTAGAGTGCGGCTGTGGCCAGAACTGGGGTACCTCAGGAGATGAGCGGGGGTAGAAGAGCTATGTGAGAAATACCCCAACCTCTGCTTGCTTTCTGGTCTCCTGCTGGTGCCTCCAGTGTGTTAGGGGCACATGGTGGGGTCAAGGTGATGCAAGTTGCAGGGGTCAGCTCTCTGGGCAGAGAAGGGCAGAAAAGAGATCTGGGTTTGGGGTAGAGGGGAATGCTGAACAACTAACATGGTGTTTTATTTCATCACTGGTCTCCTAAGTTGGAGGCCTTCTTACTTTTGAGGATGCAGTACCATATCCCTTGAAGGTGTTTGTACATTTCGCAGCAGACAAAATCAAACTCAGCTGTTGTTTTCTTTCCACAGCTTGCCTTTCTGGGTGAAGGAGAAGGCCAACAGGCTGCAGAATGAGATAAGAGAGGTTGAGGAGCTTGACAATTGGCAACCAGCATCCTCCTTGATGCACGGTTTACTCCTTCCTGGTGGGTTAAAGAACCTTCAAAGAATAGTATAAAAACTGGAGGCAAGCACAGAAAAGCAGGCTTTTGAGAGGCTTCGCAGTGGAGAGGAGAGAAGACAAAGCCTCTCCCAGAGTGGATGGTGTCCCTTGCCCCAACATGGTTCCTTGGGCCTATGTCACGGCCACGCATCGCTGGTTGAGTGTGTTGGTTGAGCACTGTTAGTCTTGTAACAGCCTTTAACTCCGTGCCTTTATCCACAGGTTCTTTGGATTCTGCAAGACAATCCTGAACAGAAACAGGCCCACAGAGCATGTACTGACTGTAGTCTGGAGAGCCTCTTTCAATTGATTGCTTCTGTCAGTGTGACTGCTCTAAATCAAATGTTCGACTTTGATGACTAATCACTGTGCTTTGCTCTTTTTAACTTTATATTTTTGAAAAACTTTCAAACTTTACAGAAAAGTCGTGAGACTCATACAATGAACAAATACCTACGTATCCTTCACCCAGAATCTACAATTGTTAACATTTGTCAAACTTTGTGCGTTCTTTCTCTCTCTTTCATTACTCTTATTATTTTGTGGAATTATTTGAGAATGAGTGGCCGACATCATAACCCGTTACTCCTACATACTATATACTTCAATATGTATCTCCTGAGATCAAGGATCTTCTCCAACAGTTGCAATACAAATACTGAATTGAGGGAACTTAACATTGATGCAATTCTGCTGGTAGATAGCCCACCTTCAGTTTTATTCAGTTAAATTTAGTTTTCGAAGGATGCTCTCAAATCAATGGCAAAATGCAGACACGGAGCTTTCATTAATTTGGTAAAATTGTTCTCATTTTATTAATACTATTTGAGATTTTCTCTACTATTCACTTGGTACATGTTGGAAAAATGTGAAGGCTAGATCTGCACAGGTAATTCATACCACTGTCCTGCAACTCCATTCCCCATTTCTGCAGGATTTGTCCACCCAGCCACGCAGGACTAAAGCTCAATGAGGCCCCAGTCTTGAGTCTTAAGGCCTTTCATCAATCAGGCAAGAAGCAAATATTTGGAGAAAAAATGGGAATAAGAACCAACCATATACAGTCAGGCTGTGACCCTCTGCAGTCAAGCCAGTGACTCAGCATCTTCGTAGCCAATCTGCTCTACTAAGGAGACCTCGCTGGTTGGCTGATGAGGGCTGCAGGTCTGGTCTCCCCAAACCTCAAAGTGGAAAGAGAGAACTGGGGCCCAGACTGACACTCATAATGCCCAAGACACAGATATGGTTTCTTTCCCTGTCAAAGCATTGTTTCTAGACATAGCCAAAGTAAATGAAGCAGGTTTAGAACACAGTACATTCCTGGTCTCTTCATATGGGCCTTTGGACCAACTAGCAGAGAACATGATGGTCTATACCACCAGCAACTGTGTCTGACCGCTCCTTGGGTTGACATCAACATGCCTCTGTGCTGATTCTCTTGTCCTGGGACACGAAGCTCACCCCTAACAAAATCCAGAAAAGACAATAAAACCAAACAATTTAGGAAAGGAAAGAAAAAAGAGGTTGCCAACAGATTTTCTCAAATACATCCACTCCTGAAAAAAGTAATTTTATGTGCTTCTATGAGTTAAAATATAAAAAAGTCAGTTGCAACCATCCGTGTGGATGCATAATGGAGAACACAATATAAATGCAAAAAGTGATTCTGCAGGAATTTCCAGATGGAATTATCTAAGTGGAACAGGAAAGCGCTCTCAGAGGGGACTCTGGTGTTTTGGAGGGAAGAAGTCCTACACAGTAAAGATATTAAGAAAAACAACCAAAGTACAGTTTCAGAAGATGTATAGCAGCCTCTAGATTTCAAAGAGGTCTACATAATTCCTACACGCGGCTCTAAACCAAAGTAGATAGGATTACAAAAGAAAACTATTGAATAATTGACCTCCTGGGGTTGTAGCGCTACATTCCATCTCCTGGAAATCCGGGCAATTTTCACTGGATTTGGGGCGCTCTGTGGGCACATCTCAGTGGCCAGGTCTTAGACCCCTTGGCGTTACCAACAGCCGGCAGGTGAGGAGTCCCACTGCTAACTTTGGGCAGGACATAAATGAATGTGCACGCATCTTTTGGGGAGACTAAGGCATAGAACGAATGGCCAAGTGGGAAAACTATGTGGGTGTCCTAGCTGTTCCAGTCCCCCTTTCTAGGCTCAAAAATGTTGGACCTTTTAAGGTGTGAAGTTCCCCTTCCTCTCACTTTAGGTCCTTGGTAAATAGCATGTGTGTGCAGGTGTGCATGTGGGTGTGTGCGTGTGTTCATTTCCTTAAATAACTGCAGCTCGAAGGCTTAATAGAAACAACCTGTACGTGACATTTCCAAGTAAAGGCACTGGAGTAACAACTTATTGTTGTACACAAGGTATTCTAATTTCAGATCCTGGGAAAAATGAAAACTGGCTCCTGTGGCCTGGCGGGAATATTCTGTTTAGTGCTAGTGGCTCTGAAGTCCAAATAAGCTAAATGAAGACCATTCCCAGGCTGTTTCTATACTCTCTGCACTCTCAGTTGTCAAAATGTTAAGATTTTAGAATGTTAAACTTTTACAATTCCACACACGATTTATGAATATTCTGTATAATTCCTTTCATTGTCTACATTTCCAGTATGAGGTATCCAGTTTGATTAGACTGTTTCCTTTTGCTCTTAGGCATTTGGCCCTCAAAAGCCGGGTGGATAAAAGCCTTATTTATAGGATTTGACTTGCCAGAGTATGTTAGAGCTGGAGCTCCTCTAGATTATGCCAGTGACTGAGAGGCTGGAAAATCAGGACAGAGTGATGCTTGACCTGAAACTGAGCAATGGGCTTGATGTGGGATGGTGCACCTCTTAGGGGGTCTACTGGCCAGGTTCCCAGTGGGCTCTGGGAAAGGACATGGGAGCCCATTTGGTGTCCTTCCAATGCTGGGGAACTCTATGAAAGATTATGGTGTGAGCTTACTGTGGGAATGAGGGGCCCTTACTGACCTGAGGAGCCAACACTGAGGCTCCCAAACCCGGATTTTGTAAGAAATACATATGTGAGAAGTAAACATTTGTTAAAGCGCATGGAGTGACCCAGCCTCATATCAAACGAGAAGCCAAATATCCCAAAGACTTGTCTTATGAGGAAATGTGTTGGTCTTCACCAAATAGGGGAACGAGGTGGGGGCAGTTTTCAGTGGTGATGGTGTGCACATGGCTCTGGTCATCTGGTTAGAAATGTGTTCTTTTCTTTGGGTACAGTGTGGGTTGGAGTAAAAATTGGGGTCCTTTTAGAAAGGGAGGACAGAATGGACACATGAGGCATAATTACACTGAAAATTATGTTTTTTATTTGAAATTCAAATTTAACTGGGAGTTCTGCATTTTTATTTGCTAAATCTAGCAACTTACAGAAGTGGCACAAAGGAGATGGATTTGAGGTCTAACTAGGAGGTAAAAGGGCAAGACTCCAAGATAATTTGGATACAGTTGGAGGGGCGGAGTCGTGGGAAAAGAACAAGTGGCCACAAGGTGGATGGTGGTGCTCTTGCCAGGGTGACATGTGGTGTCCAGCCCATGTGGCATCTTTTTTTTTTTAAGATTTTATTTATTTATTTGACAGAGAGAGACACAGCGAGAGAGGGAACACAAGCAGGGGGAGTGGGAGAGGGAGAAGCAGGCTTCCCGCAGAGCAGGGAGCCCGATGCGGGGCTCGATCCCAGGACCCCGGGATCATGACCCGAGCCGAAGGCAGACGCTTAACGACTGAGCCACCCAGGCGCCCCAAGCCCATGTGGTATCTTTATACACTCAGAGGAAGATGCCATCTTGGTGGACACAGTCCTGTGGATGCACTGCTTGGTAAGCAGCGTGCAAGCTAGATTTCGGCCTCCTTTTGTCCCTTGTGCAGTGAACTACTTATACTACCATACGTGGCAGCCTGGTACTATTTGCTGAAATAAGGAATGCTGGAGAAGGATAGGCTTTATGGAGGAGCTCAGTTTTGGAAAGTTGAATTTGAGGAAGCTCTGACACACATAAGTGGAACTGTTTGGGATGTAACTGGGTATATGGGTCTGGGGTCTGGTACATGAACATAGAGAAGTCTTCTTGTGAGAAATATAAATCCCAAGTCTGTGCCATGTGGATACAGGGTCTAGATATAAATTACCTGATCACAATATTGATCCCAAACTGAGAAATAAGCTCAAAAAGACTGTTGAGCCTCTGTGGCCTGAGAAAAAACAAAATCTCTTTGGGAACACTTTGCCACCTCAGGACACAGGGGACTTCCTAGAAATAATGAATATGAGCACCCGAGGGGGGGGGGGAAGAATTACAAACTACAACTGGATCCACCACAAAGAAGTGTCAGTAAGTGAAATCCAAGCCAATTTAGCATCATGGTATGAATTACTAGCATTTAGGGTGCATGGAATACCATTTCTACCCAGACATTAGCCTCTTCCTACATTAGCTGAGGAGTCTCTAAAGGGAAGGGAGAGGCTTAGGGGTAGCAATCTGGTAGACAGGGCAGGGCTAGAGGTTTTATCTTGAAGTTATATTAGCAAAGTAGCACAGTGTTTCTACTAAAATTCCATCTGTTTATTTGGGGAGATGATGAAGATTTTGAGGGTGGTTATCCCCAGCCCTTAATGGCTTGGTGTTGTCACAGGCTTCTGACCCTAACTTTAGCCCTTTCCTGCACAGTATGATGGTAAAAACAAGAAGGAAACTAGAATTTTGATTGTTTTCTTGGCTAAGCAAAGTTGGTCTAGTCAGAGCTGGCTCCTCAGGAAGGAATGAGAGGTGGGAAAATGGGGGACAATGCAACCTACAAACCCTCCTGCTAACATCTACTCCTTTGTAACTGGATGGACCTCCAGCTTCTTTTCCCTGGGCCAGATTTTCCCCAGTTGTGTTTCCTAAATATCAATAGATATTATAAGAAGAAAGGTTTCCAGGGTCAAACGAGTTTGGAAATGCTATATTAAAAAGGGAGGGTAGAGGGCGCCTGGGTGGCTCAGTTGGTTAAGCGACTGCCTTCGGCTCAGGTCATGATCCTGGAGTCCCGGAATCGAGTCCCACATCGGGCTCCCTGCTCGGCAGGGAGTCTGCTTCTCCCTCTGACCCTCTTCCCTCTCGTGCTTTCTATCTCTCATTCTCTCTCTCTCTCTGAAATAAATAAATAAATTAAAAAAAAAGGGAGGGTAGGGACGTCTGGGTGGCTCAGTTAGTTAGGTGCCTACCTTCGGCTCAAGGCATGATCCCAGTGGGTGGCCTTGCTTGGCGAGGAGCCTACTTCCCCTTCTGCCTGCCACCCCCCTTGCTTGTGCTCTCGCTCTCTGTCTCTCCCTCTCTAACAAATAAATAAAATCTTAAGGAAAAAAAAAAGGGAGTGTATTCATTTCCTAGGGCTGCTGTAACAAAGTACCACAAAGTGGGTGGCTTACAAGAAGATAAATTTATTCTCTCACAGTTCAGGAGGCTGGAAGTCCGAAATCAAGGTGTCAGCAAGGTTGGTTCATCCTTGGATGCTCAAAGGGAGAAGATATTCCATGCCTTTCTCTTAGTTCTGGTGTTGCTGGCCATCCTTGGCTTTCCTTGACTTGTAGATGCATCATTCATTCCAAGCTCTGCCTTCTTTTTCATATGGGGTTCTCCCTGTGTGTCTTGTCTCTTCTTTTATAAAGACACCAGTCATTGGATTAAGGTCCACCCTACTCCAATATGACCTCATCTTTACTTGATTACATCTACAGAGACGATTTCCAAATAAGGTCATGTTTACAGGTATCAGGGATTAGAACTTGGAACATATTTGTTTGGGGTGCACAATTTAACCCACGACAGGGAGAAACAAATTTCTTCATCTTACAACTTCTCTACTGGTTTTGATTTTGGCAACTGTGTAAAAGGGAGTGAATAGAGCATGCTGCCTTTTTCAAATTCAAAGAATTATAAAACACTTCTTTATTTTAATGGAGTGTCCCCGTGCAGCCAGTGCTCTGAGGAACATATGTGGGTGAGTGAGGAAGAAGTGGAGTCTCTTTCTCATTAAGCTTCTG